AGGCGGATTGTGAGTGCGATCATATTCTCTCTGAACAGAGACTTTGTGAGCGTGAACGCTTCGAGCTTCGCAGGGAGCCGAGACCACAAATAAAGTTGACCACGGATTCGAAGCGGGAAAATGAGAATTTAAGAGCTCCTTGAGCACTTCAATTTCCCCAGTTTTGCCTGGATACACTCCTCGATGAGTTCTACAATAAGCAGCAGGAGCGATCGCAAGAGTGAGCACACAGCACTTTCTCTGATAAAGCGTTTTCATGCTGCTACCGTCCAGTATAAGGGCTAATATTCCGAACTAATTAGTTATAAATGCTCCACCATTTGTGTGCATTGCATAAGTGGAGGATTTCTCATTTGTATTACATGCACACCGTAGCTGAATAGCGTTAGAGACATGAGAAATTCTGAAGAAACTTTAGGATGGCATAAGCAATTGACGCGGCCCATTTTCTTCAAAAGAACAGAGCAATTCAAATCCACGCGTTAACCAAAATCAAACAACACCATTCTTAGTTTTCCGACACGCCGAAAACGATGGTTGCTATGCCGATTTACGAAATTTCCAAATAAGTCAGAAAACTGAAAAAATTAGGGGTGGCATATACAATTGACGCGCACTGTATTGCACTGTTCGTGAAATATCAAAGCTTAAGAAATGGATACGATTAGAGCAAATGCCGTTTCTAGTATCCACCAGAAAATGCGATCGCTAACCTAGACTTTTACAGAAGAAATTTCTTATTAGGCGAAAAGAAAACAATACCGCTAAATCAATTAGAACGTACCCCAATACGCCGTTGAAGAAATCACGCAGTCCAACCGCACTACTTCCAAGTCCTGACGGGGAGTCCGCCACAGCAGAATCATCGCCTTCCTTTGGCGAAAAACCAACTTCGGCGCAATACTGAAGGAAAAAAAAACTCGTGGATTGATTTATAACTAATTCAGAAATGAATGATGCACAACAACAAAATAGTTTCCAAATCCTATTTTCATTAGGCTAGGCAATAATATCACTTTCAGGAGCTTTCTTGTGCGAACGAGATTTTTAGCGAGAATGTCCACGTTGAAGTCAGATCGTGTTCCCCAGCCAAAACTCTGTTCTTTTTTTAGGGTCTTGATTATTTCCATTGAAATTTCCCAGCGTGCCAGCGGGAGAAGGTGTTCAACGCGTTTGCCTTTAAGGAAACAGACCGCTTAGGGTCGGGTTACTTAAAACTACGTCTGCGTCTAACAATAAGCAAAGGAAGCTTTTCCGCCAAATGAAAAAATGATAAGCTCAAAAATCGCATGACGAGGAGCTGCGCTGTCTATTATGCGCGAGCGCAATTTACACACGGAGAAAGTGTTCAAAAATCTTTACAGTATTCTCTCTTAGTCTGCCATGAAGCAAGCATACTAATCTTCCTATTCTCTAAAGATATCAACCATGCAAATCATTACATGTGTTTCAAAGAACAAGGTCGGATACCTCCCTGTACCTCAGAACACAAGTAACACTGGGTTTGTCCACAACAGCTACTGTTTATTTCACGGCTTTAGATCTTGAATGGAAATGCGAAAAATATCCCATAGTATGAACGACAAACGCCTACATCATTACATCATTGATGATAGTGTCCACAGTATAGCGAGCAGGCAGACGAGAAACCATACGTTGACGCGTCATTATGTCACTATCGTCGACGATAATTTGAAGAAGACAAGACGGCATATCATTTAACTTCTGAAAGGCACCACCAAAACTAAATGTACTGAACACAAATATCGTTCACCTTTGATTTTATAAGTAACACATTCACGCTGACGGCAGTTCATATGGGCTGCCAAATAGTAATCACATGTCTTTTGATACTACCATAAGCTATTCGAATATTTTTCATATTAATGTAACAACAAGCGCCAATGGATAACTAATCATAAACGATATTCAGTATTTTAGTATTTATTACATGCCCGGTATGGAACATGTGAAGAAGATTAAACGATATGGTCCGAGGGAAGATAAGTTGTAAATCAAACGATCACCAGAAGTGAACCCAAACTGTCATGGACGGCAATAAACGTGATTTTACCACAATCGAAGCAAAATGTTTAGGATGCTGATAGCAGCTAAAACTGATAATTTTTTTTGATTGTCATTAAAAGTAAATTTGCTACTATGTCCCTATTTAAGTTCTAAGCGTTTAACGCCGGACAAATGATTTCGTCACAACCACGCTTTGCCTTTTCAACACGCAAAACCAGGGTCAACCGTCCGTTGGACAAAGTCCAACGCGACGACGAGAGTAATGCCGAGAGTGAACGTACGCACGGAGACACAGACGGCTCGCGGGTGGCGAGAGTGAATGCCGGCGCGGAGAGCGGTGAACATCGGTCCAACGTCGCTCCAATATCGGTCCAACGTAACGGTTGACCCTGCCAAAACCCGCCCATGAGCTGAGATGGCGCTACAAAATCCCGCTCGTCCCATGTGACCGACAACGCGAAACCACGCGTCGTCGAGAATGTGTTGATAATAAAAACCAAATGTAAAGAATAAGTAAACAAAACCAAAAGGAGCGAAGAGTCGCTTGTGATAAATAAAGAGATTATCTTATTAATGACACTAAATGCAAGAAACGAAAACAGCTCACGTCTAGTTCTTGAAGCAATTGTGGATCACGTTCACGAACAGGTGATTTGTTCTCTAGCTCCGCGGTATTGGTGGTAGAAGTAGCTGCTGGGGCATCCGTTCCTGCTTCCGCTCTTTTCTTCGCAATTTTTGCTAATAAACAACAACCAATCGACTTCTCATTATGTACTCAATTAAGACTTATGATACCTGGTTAGCGGTCCAGTTACATGCAAGCCGCAACGCATAAAAATAACAAGAAAAGGTTTAATTTACCGGTGAAAAATGAATTGGAATGAAATTGAAATTGAATGCAGTCACCCCTCTAACTTGATGGATGGATAAATAAAAATCGGAGAAGAAGTTTAGAAGAAGCTCCGTCCCTCAACTCTAAACCCCGCCCACTTAATAAACAATTCATATAGAAAAATAGCGATTTTAACGGAATTTCTGCCGGAATCTCTCTAGAAATGCCGGAATTTGATCTCTGGATAGAACTTGAAGAGCCCATTCGATCAGTAAAATTCCATAGATAAGAGCGGTTTAATTTACCGGTAAAAAATGATTTTGAAAAAATATTTTTATTTTTATTTTATTTTTGAAAAAATATCTATGGACCGCTCTTATCTATGGGATTTTAGGGTAATTTCATTAGGCTGGTTTGAAATTTGAATTTGGGCTTTACAAAGGTTCATTTTGATACCAAACTCCTACAGTAATCGTCAGTAGGTAGCACGTAAGAAGGCTCATTTTGAAGAAATTTGTCTATTGT